TAATAATATTACATATAATATTGTTATTATTGCATGTAATGTAATAATGTTATTATTACATGTAATACTATACGTCTTTAACAGTGTTAAATTTGACTGTTTGTTCTTGTAACTTTGGATTACCATTTCTCTAGTAGCTTGATTCTAATCTATTTTGTGAAACTTCTATTGCAAGACAGATGGTGCATGCTTTAAAACCCTCACTTCAACATTTTGAGGTAAAGTGTTTGTATCCCACAAACTTGATGAGTTTTTTCCTAATTGATACAGAATTCACTGTCTTATTTTGATAGTGTATTAGATGGGAAAAGTATCTGTTTTATAAATCTTCCTATAGTTTTGCTACCAACAGAGTTTATATCATTTATGAACTCATGGAGGGATGATGGACATAGCTTGCACTGAAAAAACATCTTACTGGGATCCAGTTTTCAACTTTCACGTGAGAGTATAAGTCAACTTTTGCAGGTGCAAATCAGTGAAGAAAAAAAAGAAAGGGAAAAAATAATTTTTAAATCTGTATGAAGGACACTAGGAGAAGGTTAGTACAGGAACTGAATGTCTAATATCAAATAATAAGAGGAAAAAATTACAAGGTAATATCCACAGATCAAACAGAGGCATCAGCTAAGTAATTTTCAGCAAGCTGATGTAGCAAGATAATTCTCATAAATGACTTTATCCTTTCTGAAGATCTGATCGTTCTTAATTGGACAAAATGTCCTCTGACTTCTAGAAAGTCTGGACTTTTTAGCAGTTCTTATATGAGTTCAAGAGAACCATGAGGAGGGCATATATCAGGTCTTTGGAGGATTTTCATTATAGTTAACAGGGTCTTTTTTTTCTCTTTGGCAAAGATTTGTAAGAACATACTAAATGTCTGTGTAGTTCACTAGATGCTCCTTTTGCTGGGGATGTGATTTTGAAGTCTGAGGAGTGAGGGGCAGAGAGGATACAATATCTTTAAAGTATTAATGACATGCCAAATTAAAACAAGATCTTATATCTTTAGGTACCAAACTGAGATCACTGAGACAGTAGTTCTTGATTTGCACAGTGTGAAATGCCCACTTGGAAAACTGTCACTTTGGAAATTCTCAGTGAAACCCTTCTCTCAACCCTCAATTAAAATTTTCCTCTTCAAGGAAAGGTTTTACAATGTTCTTACATTGAAGTTTAAAATATTGTTAATATTTAGAGATTTATTGGCCTACAACTGAGCATGTTATTTTTTGTACTCAGTCTCTGCTAGCTGCAGCACAGAGGAGTGCTATGGCCCTCCTGCCAGTGAGAGCTGGCCTCAGCCTACAGGTTGTGGACTGATGCAAGCCCTTCTTGTGTACCTGGAGTGTTCTTGGAAGGGTCAGCCAAGTACCAGTCACCCTCTCCTTGTGCCTCTGCAAGGCTGCTGTGCTGAATGGTCCTAGGAAGGAGCCTCAGGGAGGCTGAGCAGTGCAAAAGGAGCAGAGCAGAGCTTGAGAAACTTACCTGACATCCACCACTGAATTTCCATGTAGGTCCTTAAAAAGTGAGGGGAGCAGTCACTATTAAAAACAATGTTTTCATGTGTGGTCACTTCAAGACACAGTTTAGGATAAATAAGTATTTCAGGCCTTTTGCTTCTTTGATTTTAATTTTGATTTCCTTGTCAGTTTGGGGACTTTGGAAGACCTGAAACAGGTATAGTTTTGTGGACATCTTTATCTTCAAGCTTCTTGTTAAATCAATAAGGTGTCAAGGAGTTCACAAAACTAGACCTGCTGCTTCACAGTGTATGACTTCTGGTTTTACCTTTATGCAGAGGCAGAATATGGTCAGCCATAGACCAAGGACAGTAATGTGACTTGACAGTGATTCTGCTTCAGCCAGGCCAGATCCCAGGCTGATGGGAGATGGAAAAGCAGCCCATTTCTCCAGAAACTTGTACTTCTGTTGCAATTCCTTCCTGTCCCTCTGTTGTGTTGCTGGGCAAAGTCAGATCCTTGTTGAAGTAGTGTTGTGTCTTACCTATGCTGAACTGATTCTGGTCAAGGTATAGCTGACTTGTATTTGAGAGTCAAATGTGAAAGTTAGAGAAAATTAGAGGAAGGAGTAGGTGTCTTCAATTTAAAAACAAGTAAAAAGGTTACATGACCATCTGCAAATGTACCTGGTATGTGAATGCTTTCTCATACACTCCAAGTGTGTGCCTTTTGTATGCCTCTGTGCTCAGTGAAGATTTACTATGCTGGGTGAGGCAAATGGTCTTCTGAATTTATCTCGTTAGACACAATCAATATGGCTTTGCTGTTTTAATAGCTAAATAGAAGAGACAGTTTGCCATAGCCTAAAAAGCCACACTTCAGTCAGTAGGTTTGTCTGTCAAAGGGATTTGTTAAAGCAAGGAAATCGTATTGGTAAGAGATGACTTTGCTTCAGTTTTACTTGTGTAAAAATGTCTGCTAAAGCATAACTCTTTTACTATAGTTAAAGGTAAGTGGCTCTAGTCAAATTAGATGTAGAAGTTATTCTAAAGTCTTAGTTGTTTGAGGATTTTTAGTTTTCTTTTAATTGATCTGGGTAGCACTGTCCAAACAAGCTTAATTGTGAATGTTTAAGTCATAGATTTGTCTCATTCTTGTATTCTGAATATGGCACTTCTGTGTTCATTGTGATAAAATTCAAAAGGAAGCAACTGTCTGCTAGGAAGATAATTTGAGAAATGAATCAGAGTGACTCAAGAAGCTTGTAGGTGTTAGAATGACAGCTAGTTTCAGTTCATATAAATACCTATTTTGAAAACGAGACAAAGGAGAAAACAGAAAGAAAACTTTTCAAATATTTTAAAAGCAAACATGATTTCCATTGAACTGTCTTGCATAGGAGATGAAGGAAAAACTGTGGAATATTTTGCAAAGCAATCAACATTACAATGAAACTTTTGTTTTCAGCAATATTGATGTTGTAGGGTTTTTTGCAATTCTCCATATAATTTGTCAAAAGGTAAGAGCATATTCTTTGGAATGACAGTGCTTAAGGGTATGCTATGTCAGTATACAATTACATTTTTGCTTTTTCACTTGAAAATATTTCTGGTATTTTCTCTAACTTGTTTCATTACTCTTCTCATAAGGCACCCAATTTTGGTTTTGAATTTTGTATTTTCTTTTAAAATGTGATGTTTGCCTTGTTTCTTTTTAACACTCAATTTAGCATGATTTGTGCATGGGATGTTTAAATATGCTAATAATGTTATTGCATTTGAACTGATGTAGTTTTATGAAAGGGTCTATGTGTCTTATTACTCATTTCTTAAGGAAGTGTATATATGTACTAACAATTAAACCAAAAAAAAGTGAAAAATTTTGCTGTATGTGTAAGTAAACATAATCATAGAGTGGTTTGGGTTTGAAGGGACCTTTAAAGGCCATCTAGTTTCAACTCCCTGCAGTGAGCAGAGATCCCTTCAACTAGATCAGGTTGCTCGAAGCCCCCTCCAGCTTCACCTTGAGGACTTCCAGGGATGGGGTAATCAATAAGTGAGTGATCTCACTTATCTGTGTTTGTTCTAAAGTTATGATACATGTTATTTTAAAATTAAATACTTCAGAGCTGTAAAAAAAAAAAAAAAAAGAAAACAAGGCAAAAATTCAATATAAATTTAAAATTTCCAAGTGTTGTAACTTTGGCAAGTACTAGGTCATATAAAACTGGGATAATTGTATTTAAAGCTCACTGTATTTCATTTGCTGACACATTGAGATAAAATGCTTAAAATCCCTTTCATGGACCTCTAGTATATTAAATATTTATTTTTAAACGTGCATGTTAATGAGAAATGATTAGGAAATCTATTATAAAAATCTATCTCTGCGATATGTGATTTTGTTTGCAGTTTAGCATACTAATTTGAAGCTAGAAATAGCCCTGGACCCGGGCCACTCTTTTTAGCAAAAATATTCTTGTTGTCTTGGGACAGGAGGGAATGGCAGCCACCATGAGTTCATGTGCCACTTCAAACAGCCCCAGTTTCCTTCTGAGCAGAGCCAGCATTTAATTTGTATTTCTGTCCAGGCCAAAGATCATGTGAATATTGGTCCTCTGGCCCTTACAGTGCTAATCCATTTGCCATTAACTGAACTTTGGTTGAAAAATATTGCATGTTTAATAAGAATCATAAAGCAGACTGTATCTCCACTTCCCAGTGCTGTAACAGAAAGATAATGGACTACAAGAGAGATTAATAAGATTTTTGATTTGCAAAAGCATTAAGTCAGTTTAAAGCTATTGGTTAAGCCGCTCAAAACTGGTAATGCATTAATCTTGAGCTGTGGTGTAGAAGCACAGCCATTGCTGGCATGCATTAAGACATCTACGTGGTCACCTTGTGTTTAGCTCTTTTTCAGATTGAGTTAGCAGTAGCAAGTCTTAAAGTGAAATTTGCAGAAGATGGGTTGACAAAGCATATGCAGCAACTCTCAGTAGCAGGTATTTGTTTTTACCTGCTTCGTGGATACCCGGACTATAATTCTGAGATGGCTGGGTATTTTTTCTGCCATAGAGCCATCTGTCTCAGTGTGGAATCTTGAGCCTGGTTTGACTCTCCTTTTCTGGGGAATCTGAGTGACTTTCACCTGTCAGGACTGCAAAAGCCTAGCTCAGTGGTGGTTGGCAGTCTTAGCTTGATTATTCCCATGCTGCTTCTGCACTTCTCTCATTTCATCCGAGTGCAGTTAAAACCCCAGGTGAAAACACTGGTACAATCTGTTTAACTGTTTTTAAGGTCTTCTAGTCCAGAACTGGTATGTCATTTAGAAATTTGTTTGATGGTTATTTCCTTCTATGGTTTTGAAAATGACAATGTTGCTTGTTTCTTTTGTTTGTTTTTTTTTCTCATTCTTTTTGAACCCCTGTTTTATATGTGTGTGTTTTTTGTTTTTTTTTCCTCTACCTAGACCTGGTTAACCATTTCTGTGAACAGGTCCTCAATTTTTTACTTTGTCCCTACTTTCCTGTCGTAGCCCCATCTTCCCCTGGTGTCGACTCCGTACCCTTACAGCGCACAGGCAGTCAACACGGCACACAGAACGCAACAGCGACCTTCCAGAGGGCCAGCTATGCGGCCGGCCCAGCCTCCAATTACGCAGACCCCTACCGACAGCTGCAGTATTGTCCTTCTGTTGAATCACCATACAGCAAATCTGGGCCAGCCATCCCACCCGAAGGGACCTTGGCTAGGTCACCTTCCATTGATAGCATTCAGAAAGATCCCAGGTGGGTGAAACCTTCTTCATTGTCTTCTATTTCTTGCTCGCAGTAAGCTTTGTAATTGCAGTTTGCTTTGTATGTTTCTGCTGTTGAATATAAAAACAAACTAACAAAAAACCAACCAAAAAAAACCCACCAAAAAACCCCACAAACAACACCTATGATGGTACATGAAAGGCTTTGTTTGCCTAACAGCATTGTCCTAACGCTTTACTTTGGAAAGCTCTTGTCAGCTCCTCTGTGCAATGAGGTGATAGGTGTGGTCTTGAATGTGTGTGTTTAACCTGCTTTCAGTAGCGCCACCCCTCAAAAGCTTAAGAAAAGTAATTTTCTCCAAAAATGGGAGGAGTGGTGTGACTGTTTTGACTCTGTAGCCACTGTGGATTGAATTTTCAAGCTGCTGCTTCAGCTGAAGTTGTTGCAGTTCTTGGTTTGTCTGTAGTTAATGTTCATAAATGCTGCAGAAAATGGTATTTTAGTATTGTGAAATGAGACTTAGCAATGTGAAAGCAACACTTAACCAGGCTTATGTTTCACCTTTTGTGTTGTACAGGCTTCCAATGCCAGTATGTGATAACAGAATGCATGATTACAGTTTTGCAGAAATGGTTGTTACTGTGCATGCTTTTCAAAAGTATAGACAAATTTTAACGTTGTTAATGATCATCCTCATCTACCTACAGAAAGTGCAGGGAGGAAACTTTATAGCCCAGGGGTGCAGATGGATTAGAGAGAGTTTTCTGGCAAACTATTTAACTTCTGTGGTAATAGCAGTGGAAATGCTAGCTGGAATCCTCAATGCACCTTGTGATTTTATTCAGTTTTCTGATGGAAAAGAAAGCAAGTCTCTTTCTGAGTTTAAACTTGTTGAAAGTGATAATGTATCCTAAGGTTTTTCTGTGGCAGGTCAACTGATCTATTTAGTTATTTATTGCTATGTATAGTTTAGCGGTAGGAGAGCCCAAAAATTTGCCATCAACAAAAATGCTGGCGGTGTTTAAGCAACAATTTGAAAATACTTCTTTCCCTGAATTAAAAAAAGAAAAAAATTAATAAACTGATTCTCTACTCGTTTAGCATCATAGCAGTTCTTTCTGTCTCTTCACCCAGGAACACAACAGCAGATAACAGTTTATGGCACGTCAGAAATATTACTATTTGCAGATACTTCCACCATTGCAGTTTTACTTGTTGAGGAAACTTGTGTCTTCAACCTTTTTTTTCCCCTTTAGCTTTTCCTCCAGAAATTTGAAAAAAAAAAAGTAAATTGAATTCCTCCCCTTCTTCCTCCTGCCCCAGAGCAAACATTGGTAACAAAAGGAAACAGTCTTTTTCTATAACTGTGGTATTTTGATATATTTGTATTCTAGAATATAAAAGTCCGTGGAGGAAAAGGAGCTTTGCTTTGTAATTTCTCTCATGTACAGACTTAAAGAAAATTACATTAGGAGTGCTCTAAACCAGAGGAGAAATCTATATGAAATGTTCTTTGGAGAAGCATGGTGATGCTGAGGGCGCTATTCCCTGTAGACAGGGAAGATATATTTACAGTATATCTTCAGGTCCTAGACATAATGTCTTTCTAAGAAAAGGTTATCTTTGTTTAGTTGCTCTGCTGTCACTTTGCAAGTGTTAGCCAGTTAGTGTACAGGATACTTGCTTGTAAAAGAAGATTTCTTCTTACAAATTTTTCTTTTGCTTTTTTTTGGTTCTTTCTTGTCTTCTGGTACCATTTGTGCATTTACTGTAGGTAAAGTAGGGGCGAGCAGGCATCAAGGTATAAACAGAACTTCATAAACTGTTTAGAGAGGATTGTTATATATTGTTCCTGATTACTATTAGATGGACTGGGAAATTGCACAAAATAAGTTTTGTAAAATAGGTTTGCATTACTCTTGATCTCCTTCACTAGATCTGTGAACTCTGTGTGGTGTCTCTCACTTAGTATTTCTGCCCTTGCTTGTTGATTTCAATAATTTTGATAAAGAAATGTCAGAAACACCTGATTATGTTGTGCCTTAGTCCACAGAAGCCGTAGTCCACCTAGGCAGACTGACTTGTGAAACTGTCTGTGGCCTACAAGCAATTGCTGATCATTCAGTATTGGAAAGACATTGAAAATTTTAAAGGAGTTTTGATAAAAGCAACAAAAGCAATCAGGATGCTTTTAATGTGTTGATTTCTATGAATAGTTTACAAAAATATGGATAAATTACAGGTGTGGAAATGATAAGATGCTTGAAAAAATAATGTGGAAGGATAGAAATTA